TCTGCCAACCACTAATAAACCAAGTATCTGTGAGGGCTTGATTACAGAACACACACTAGAAGGGTCACACTGAATGGTAAAATCTTGTGACAGGGCCATGAAATTTCTTACAAAACATTTTTCAATCATTTCAATTTAAAAACTTAAGATTTTTCTAGAAAGTGTTACTCTTCAGTCACTGCTGTGTTCTAGTACTTAAATCAGCCTTTTGAATTGAAAGGAAAGGAAATCACTGGAGTGAGGAGGAATCACAGAATGGTTGAGGTTAAGGAGATCATCTAGACCCCCGCTCAAGCAGGGTCACACTCACAGGACCTTGCCCAGGATCACATCCAGACGGGTTTGGAATATCTCCAGGGAAGGAGACTCCACAACCTCTCTGGGCAACCTGCTCCAGGGCTCCGTCACCCTCACAGGAAAGAAGTTTTTCCCGTTGTTCAGATGGAACTGCCTGTGGTTCAGTTTGTGCCCGTTGCCTCTTGTCCTGTCGCTGGGCACCATCCTCTTGACACCCTCCCTTCAGATATTTATACCCATTGATATTTATATCCCCCCTCAGTCCTCTCTTCTCCAGGCTGAAGAGTCCCAGCTCTCTCAGCCTTTCCTCATAGAAGAGATGCTCCAGTCCCCTAATGTCCTTAGCCCTCTGCTGGACTTGCTCCCAGATCTCTAATTCCTCCTGTTTATTCCCTATGCTCCGTGCATTGGTGTACAGGCACTTCAGAGAAGTATCCGAGTAAACTGATTTTCCAGAAGGGGTGCAAGAGGTTTCCTGGGAGTGTTGTCTTGTAGGCAGTTCCTTGCCTGCTTGCAAATACTTGAGGTGCCCCCACAAAGCCCTGTTTCGCTGATTGTGTAGTCCCTGTAACTCTCCCCTGTTTCTCCTAGTTTGAAGCCCTCCTTACCAGGTTGGCCAGCCTCTTGGCAAAGACATGCGTACTCCATTTAGTGAGGTGGATCCCATCTCTCCCAGTCAGTTGCTGATCTTCAAACAGGGTCCCGTGGTCATAGAAACCAAAACAAGCAAGCCACTGACTTGTGGAGATACGACCATGAATCTTTAGAAAGCAGCACCACTGTCTTGAAATCAGGCATGGTCTCCTGAAATTACATCCACAGTAAGTGAAGTCAAAAATCTCAGCTCACCTTGATAGCGGCCCTCTGCATCCCACATATTTGCACCCAGGGTTTTTCATCTCACATCTCAAGAACGATGTACTCCCATTCATATCCTGGGCTCAGAACCACCACGCAACCACAGCCAAAAATAGCTGCAAAGAAAAACACTTCCATAAAGTAATCCAATCTCTCTTCTTAGGAAAAACAAAATGTGGGAACACAGGCACTGAGGCATTCACAGCATCCCCTTGGCATAGCTGCTATAGGATTAAAAGTACCACTTCTGTACTGGCACTGTTCAGAGGTGGAGTTGGGGGAGATGGGCCTGGCACTGGGGACCACAAGCGCACTTGGAAATTGCAGAGGGGAAAGCAGACCTTCTGTGTGTGACAATATACTAACCTCTCTGCAAGACAGTCTCCTGGACAACACGGTGCTTCCTAGGGGGGCCTGCAGTTGAGGTGGCAGCAATTTGCGGCATAACTTCCCTTCAAAAAGCTCCAAGCCACACGTATAGTGGAACCGTTTAGCCCAGGAGGCCATGTAACATCTAATTCAAAGTAAACCCACAAACCACGGAGAGTTGAGTATTCTCAGCACCAACTGGTATAATCCTCTTATCCACTCTTACTGTACTGCATTACTTGTTAATGTAGATGTAGTACTGAAATGCTCAGTTCCCACTGAGATTCCCGTCAAACACATACTAAAGCCTTTTCCTAAAATCAGGTATCAAGCTGCTTATGTGTCTTTGCTGTCTGCTCTAGCAAACCTCAAATGCCAGAGAAAAAAGGATTATCAACTAAGGCAGATAAATAAATGAATAAAAATACCAGAATCTCATACTAGAAAGATGAAATCACGCAATCAACAGAACAGAAACAATTGCCGTTCTGTTTAAAAGGTGAAACAAAAATATTCATTTCACATCTATTCACAGGATTCATCAGACTGTCCAACTGGTTAGAGGCTGTTGGCTACCAAAAGAGGTCTTGACTGTTTTGGGGTTTCTCCTCCTTTCCCATCCTCTTCTCCTCTTGAAATGTTATCAGTTCAACATAGACCTAAACTGCTAACAAGTGTAATGTCTTTAAAAAATAACATCTGTTGAATCTGCACTTAACTTTATACTGACGGAGTTAGTAGCACTCCCAGAGAGAAACAGATTTTGTAAAATATAACTGAGCTCAGAACCGTGACATGGTGTTTCACCTTATTTATCATCTATCCACCCCTCAATAGCAGCATTACGTATTTGTATGCTGCAGATCTATGACAAAGTTGTTCACTTTTTTCCTCCTTGTTATACTGAGACAAGAGATTCCTTCAGAAGATAAACTGTTCGTTCAATTGACATTTCCCCCCACCCGATGCCTAAGGCAAAGAAGGAGCAGAGAGGTACTGGGTTTGGTATCATGTGGCTCTTCTGCATGTCTCAGCTTTGACTTTAGTAAGAACAAACAGTGCTCTTCAGTTAGCATCCTCTCCCAGCAGTGAAGCTTTTCTTCAAGAAAGCACATGATTTGATAAGGAATTATATGACATTTTCAAAGCACTGCTCAAGGGCTGGCATATTTCTACGGGAATTTACCGGAGTGTGATAGCGTATACTTACTGTTTTGCAGACATGGGTATCTACAGCTTTGCCTGTACCTCTCACATTGTAACCTCCCATTAAGTTCCTCTGTGGTAACATAAAAGAAACACTGAACCATTTGGCCAACTGAGCAAATTTATGCTCCTCACTAATGTGCATTCTTCTTCCCTTCCTCCCTTTACTTCCCCTTCTGCTAAAAGAAAAGGTTGCTTTGAACCTTAATGGTTCTAGCAAAAACAGTTAGATCCTCCTGGTGTTAATGCTACGCAAGGCTCAGCTTTTTGGCATCATTAGACAAAATCAGGGGAACGCACAGGACAGAGGAATGGTTAGGCCTTTCCAAGGACTGCACTAGCTACGGATAGCGAGGTTACAACTTTCCAGCTGACTACTCAGGAATTAAGTCTTTCATGATCTCTCATACTATCTGTTCTTTCCTATTCATTTTTGAATCTATCAATCAGTCATCTTTTACAAAATTTAGAGCCAAATTTACCACCCCAAAGACAATTAATCTCCTTCAAACTTGAAAAAAAAAAGAAAGATCGTGACAGGATAGAAAGGCCCATGTTAATGCCCTTACTGGGACAATGGCAAACAGAACATGATCCTTGTACTTTTTTTTTTGGCAGCAACTTTTTTTGGCCAATTACAGTACCCACAACTCTAGATTAATCATAGACTGCTGTTTCTTGCCAGGTGCTGTAAATGGAATTACTGTAAAATGTGTGCACGCATGAGCACGAACACTGACACTTTGCACATCCATAGGAAACCACTGCTGCCCACAGGAAAGTGTCTCTCTTTTTGCAGCAGCATTTGCTTACCAGTGCAGAGTAAACCGTACTCACCTTAGTCTAAGACACTGCTGCCATGGTATAACAGCATCCATGTTAGAGTTTTGCCCCAATCACACAGGTTTCTACATACTGTTACAATAGTATAAGATGTGTGAGTACACAAAATTTGAGTTAAACCCATTAAAAAAAATTCTGTTTAGACCACCCTCTGTCACAAAATAATCGGACCTAAATCAAAGTAACTTTTAATTTAGTACTAGTCTGCCCACTCTAGCAACTTGTATTGATTAGGTAGGTAAACCAGTGTTGGATCATCTCTAAGAGGATATGTAATAACACAGAGAAGTAGCAGATTTTTGGGCTGTTTATTAGGAAGGAAGGATGTAGACTCTAAGAAGAAAGCAAGAAGTTGTCTTCTTGCCTCTGTCATGCTAATGAATGCAGTCAGAAGCTGTACTGAAAGGAATTTAAACTCGTGATAGTCATAAGAGAACAGATCAAAGAGGGGAAAAAAACAGATCAAGTCAAGGAGAAGAAAGCTGTACATGCCTTTAGCTGGCATACAGAGTACAGGTTTGAAGGAGGTAAGACTTGTATTTTTTTAATTCTACCTGAACTTTTCTGTATTGCTTTAGAATTATGCTTCAGAAAAGGCTTGACTGTCTCTTGGTGAATTCTGAAAATGTTTTGTTTCCTTGGCCTGAATTCTCTTGAGTAGGGTTATTGTTTTTTAACGGTACAAGGTAGGCAGATTAATTGGGTACTGTCAAATAGGATCTGTTTGTGTGCTATTTACATGAGAGAAACATGGTAACTTGTGTATTTTTCCTTCACTATAGCTGATCAGTTTGATTTTTAACTGTTCAGACTCTATTTAGTTGGATGCATCATTCCCCAAAGACTGGAAATTAAGATTACAATATACGTTTCCTGTAACTATTGGTAGAACATCTAAAAATATAGGCTGTCAGCAAATGTAAATTGGTATAAACATCTGAAAGTCATTAGATCCCTGACAGTTTATGCAGGCTGAGAATCTGGCCCTTAAGTGTTTACAAGGAATAGAAACAGTGACTTTAAGGACAATACTAGCCTTATCTTTTGAGTATTTTTTCTTGTCCAGGTAAATTGCCTCATTTCTCTATTCCTAAGGGATTAAGTTCAGAAGTCTGCCATCATTTAGCACCTAAAGAGAACATGACAAGTCGTTCTCGGTTACACTCAGGTGCAAGTATCCTGATGTCACTGGAGCTATTCAAACATAAACTTTAGTTTTGGGTTTGAGTTTTGCCTTAAATTGTGACAGTTGTATACATATATGGATATATCTGATTCTAAAGATACCAGTTTGCCCCAGCTCCCCAAAGTGCACCTGTCAAAAGAAAAAAGTTGATAACACATTAGTCCTTAGAGATAGCAATTATTTCCTTCACTGAGAGGCAATATTTCTATCTTGTAGGCTTGAACAGGACCAAGATCACAAAATGCCCAGAAGAAATCACCAGCCAGACGGCAACTTTTTCGGAGGGAAAGGACACAGCTACTTCGCAGCAGAAGAGTGAGCATAAAGCAAAATCTAAAATAGCATGTAATCTGGTGAAAAAATTTTACACTGAAAAGAAATGTACCAAATAGGATTAATTACTGAAAAAAAAATTATAACTATGGAAGGCAGAGGAGTACTGTTTAGCTATTTTGTAGTTGTCTGTGATGTCCTTCATTGCAGTATCTTAAAAAGCATTCAATGGTTAGGAAAAAATGGAATGGCAGAAATTCCAGAATCTACAGCTTGATCATATGATCGCAAGTCATTAACCTTCATAATAAAATTACTAGGCTTACTGAGGCTTATTTCAGATTACGCTTTTGAGGGTGTTTTAAGGTGATCCTTACAATGGCTTTTATCTCCAGATCCGCGTACATGTCTTCAGAACCTCAAAGGGACATCATCTCACCCCAAGGAATATTATAAGTGAAAATCCCAGGGAAATGGTAAAATACCATCAAAAAGCTGATGCAGACATCAATGCCATACAAAAGTGACTCTCAATATTTTGTTCCTGGGAGGGACTCCTTTTAAGCAGAACTAATCCAAGCTAACGCTTCGTTAGCTCACAGTAAAGTATGTTGGGTCTTGGGTTACTAGAGACACTACCCTGCTGGTGATGTGTTATTACTTTAGATGAATTTTTCCAACGTGCTTGGGCTATCCGCATGGAAAATCTGTTCCTAATACTGGTTCGCTAGACCCCAAATTTGGTGACTTGTTCCACACACATACTGCAAGATACTTGTTCTCCCATGCTTATCCTTGGGCACAGAGAGTAAACAAAGGGGAAAGCTCTCTAATGGTATTTCCAAAAATGCTCAGTTCTCCAAAGCAGAAAGCTGACCAGCCACATCTCAGCACTCTAAACAAGCACACTTGCCTCAAATTGCTGTAACTTCCAACGCTCAAATCAAAGCACACGTGCAGTTTTTCTAGAGATGGTAGAGGAAGGTTACTGTCTCATTCCAGGACCACAAGGAGCATTTAAGATGAAACTAAATAAAAATTTATAAGATCACAGCTGCAACTTTAACTGGAATTGCAAATGCACTTTCTTACTTACCTGTCTAGCCTCTAGCTAGGCAGGTAAGGAGTTAGACAGAAAATACGCAGTAAAACGACCAACTTCAGATATGACAGATTCTGTGTTTCCAGGGGAATATGGGCTAATTGATTGCCAAAACACAAGAAGCGTACAGAGGACATAAGACTAAAAAGGAGAAAACAGTCTCAAAAAGCAGAAATGGAATTACCTTCCTAGAGACAGTAACAAAACCAGTGGAGCCGTCTCTTATCATCAGCTGCAACACTGCTGCTCCAGGCAGCAAGCGAGCCTGTTCTTGGACAGGTTACCAGATCTCCATCCAGCACAAAGTACCCCTTTTCAAGGGGCAGAGGTAGCTGGCATGATTCAAGTACATGTGATAAAGAAAATCCCTTTGGTTTCAAGGGGCTTTATGCTTCAAAAAGTGCCCAGGCAGTTTAGACATGGAGACAACCTGCTCTACCACCCTAATCTCTTTGCACTCCGTCTTCATTTCATATGTCTTAGGTCATAGGTACACAAGAAAGACTCAACAAAAAATTGTTAGCAAAAATGCTAACAAATAGATATAAAAAGTCACATAGTCTGTTTCTCAATCCCAATAGAAAAGCTTGGTGGTAATTATTCTAAGCAACTGGATATGAGTGAATTATGGTAAGATATATAAATGGGTGTTAGGATCCCAACTCATGTTATCATTTTTTTCTGCCTTCTTTTCTCTTTAAGCAGTTCCCAGACTCTTCTGTTCATGAAGGCATGGTTTTAGTCTTCTCTTTTTTTGACGGTTACTTATCATCCTTAAAAAAAGGGGAATGGGGGGAAGAACAGGCCAATAACAGAAAAACGGGGAGCTGTTTCTATGCCTCTTAACAGAAAGAGCATTAGACTGGGAAGAAGAGGTTTTATGACTAGAAACTTGCAACTACTTTGTCACCTTGCTTTCTGATAAATAGCGCAACAGTGCTACTTCTTCTGAGTTCCCGGTTGTGGGAAAGATCTCTTGCAACACATTTTACTAAGCCTGTGTTCCGTAAAACGACCCAGTGACACCAATACCGGGCCTAGCAGGTCACAGAACAAGAACCAGACTGTTAGAGAGTAGTTTATGAATAATTTTTAATAATTGCTTACTTTCATTTTTCTTGTTGCTGGAAGAATGCGTCTAGTTCTGCTGTTAATTATTTTGCTTTGCTTTCACAACAGAGCTCTGGGCATTGGAATTTTCATTTTGGTGCTGGCAATTTTACTTATCTTTGGCTGCTGGTATTACAGAAGACGCAGTGGCTACAAAAGTCTACGGGTAAGCATGGCAGCTCACTTTCTGTCACATTATTTTGCCAGCATGTTATCACTATCTGTATTATACTAATGCACAGAATGTCCAATCTAGAATAGGACACCGTTGTCTCGGGCAATACACACACTGACGTATACACAGGTATGAGAACAGGCAATATGAAACACCTCTTGTCCTGAAAAACTTGCAAGTCAGGCAAAAGGGTAAGAAGCATGTGGAGGTGAAGTTACGAGCCCAGATTCACAAAACACATCAGTGAAAAAACCTGTTATCTAGGGACACTGAATTTTATATTTACATAATACCCAAAGTGTACAATCTCTTTGCAGGTCTCTACTTTCAAGTTTTGAAAATCTTACCCTGGTCAGGGTTGTTAGATGACAAAAGAATGACGAAAAAGAAAAAAGTTTGAGAATAAAAAACGTTTTCAATGAAGGATTTGAAAAAAGAAATGTGGCAACCGAAAGGGCGATAAATTCAGATAGCTCAGAACGTGTCAGTTCTTGCAGCAATCTTGGACTTAAAAAGTGTGATCCTCATTTTTGCTGGCAAAACAACTGGGTTTTATACAGGAGACAGGGTATTATGCTGTAGCAGGGAGAGCAAAAAGTGATATGCAGACAACCTGTCTTACTTGCTGGCATTCTGTGCGGCCCTAAATACCACTTCTAATAAATATTGTAAATTTGCTGTCAAATGTTAAATGATCATTTATGCTTCAACAGCAAGTTGAAGTTTAAGTTCAGTTTTCCTTTCACTTTCTATATCTTTCTTTATGATCTATTACAGAGTCAAAGCTCTAGCAAGGGCACAATACAAACCGTGGTAGGCGAGCGAACAGCACTGGACTGCAAAATGGCTCTGCAGGAGTACAAAAACTTTAATGCTGTGGTAAGTCACAGCTCAAGGTTTCATTTACTTACAACATAGCAAGACATTTTCAGACAATTTTGGTACGCACTCACTAATTATTTCTTTCTTGGATTGTGCTCTCTAGATTGGGTGTTCACTATGTTAACTGTTAAAAAGTAGTAATTTGCACAAATTTTAAAGTGAAAAGGTTTTTTAAAATCTGCTATTAAGAATCTTTCTTTTAAAAAATTCTCCCCTTTCACCTACTGTTAAGCTGCATGATCATTATGCAACCTACTAGCTAGGATGCAACATAATGCCCATGTGCTAAAATATATTGAAAAAATATCTTTCTGCTAGATGTTCTACCATTATGACAAACAACAAACGGGTTGTGTCTGGCATGCTGTAGCCTGACAAAAATAGTCAGGGAATGTCACAAAGCAAGAACCAAAGTGCTCAGGTGCTCATAGCTTCTCTAATCAGTATGGAAAGATGTACATTCAAACCTATAACTTTAAACAGTTAACATAAATTAATTGATAAATATACATGTCAAGGTATGGTTGTGTTTACATAGTTTGAGAACAGGGAAAAGGGTAGTTATGTGACAATTTATAACCAATTTTAAGCATGCTTCCAAAATTGTTAACATTAGCAATTACATATTATTATATAATACATAAAATATATATAATATATATTAGCAATTATATAACACACATGCATTAAGAATCTAAATGAAATATTTTAATATTAATCTGAAATCTCAATACGTAATGAATAATATTTTCCTTTAAAAGTTCCTGCCCCTATAATACTGAAAATTCTCTCTTTGGATGGATATAAACCAAATCAATTTAATCTGATGCAAAACCAGAAACATGTACTAAACTTTAAAATAATAACGACATAGCAAATCAGCTCAGTTATTTTAAGCTATAATAGTGTATCTCATATGAGGGTAAATAGACAGGTGCATCTTTAATGTCATCTTCTTGTACCTCAACTGTTTTTTCACACTTTCACGTTCATTTTCCTTACAATAGGTACCTGATGCTCCACCAGCTTATGAGAAAATTGCTGCAGAACAATCACCACCACCTTATTCACCATGATAATAAGAAAGCTTAAACTCTATGTCTCTTTACAAACTCGATACAAATTAATTTTATTCATGCTTCCTCTTCCTATCTTGCACATTCTAAACCTTCTTTACAGCTAAAACTGCAGTAAAAATCACATGCTTTCATTAGCAGTTGCTGAAAATTTTTCCTGCCTAGGTGGTAGAAAAAGTTCTTGAAACATTTCAGTAAAGCTGAATGTGCTTTTGCTTTAAATTTTTCATTTCCTGTGGTCACATTAAAACAGCATGTTCAAGTCTGGGTCTTTTGTGTCCTTCGTAAATCCATCAAGAGCAAGTACATTCCACTGAGTATCAACACAAGTAGGAAGTGTTGGGACTTCTTTTTTCATCTTCCCTATTTATTTTTCTTTTCTTTAAAAAAGAAATAAATAAACTATTTCCTAAAATATACTGTACAAAAATCCATCACAAAATGGACCAAAACCTTTTACTATATGTCCTGTTAAAAAAGCCTAAACATTTTCCCTACTAGCAGTTCCAGAAGTTAACCTGCACTATGCCTATATGTCTGTTTTTATAATTTATTTGCTTTTCACAGAATCACAGAATCACAGAATGGTTTAGGTTGAAAGGGACCTCTGGAGATCATCTAGTCCAACCTCCCTGCTCAAGCAGGGAGCACGTTGCCCAGGATCACATCCAGACGGGTTTTGAATATCTCCAGTGAAGGAGACTCCACAACCTCTCTGAGCAACCTGTTCCAATGCTCGGTCACCCTCACAGTGAGGAAGTTTTTTCTCAGGTTTAGGTGGAACTTCCTGTGGTTCAGTTTCTGCCCGTTGCCGCTTGTCTGTTGCTGGGCACCACGGAGAAGAGACTGGCCTCATCCTCTTGACACTCCCCCTTCAGATACTTGTACACGTTGATGAGATCGCCTCTCAGTCTTCTCTTCTCCAGGCTGAACAGGCCCAGCTCTCGCAGCCTTTCCTCA